GTGCGGGGCGAAGTGGGGACTGTGAAGGAGAATTCGAGGGGCGGGGGGATGGTGGCGGGGGGTGGGGAGAGGAGGTTCGGACGCGGTTGTTCTGGTCAAGGAGTCGCCGGCCTGGGACGGATGACCTGGCACATTCTGTAAATGTTTTTTTTACCATAATAATTCGGCGAGTGCTAGGCGCCGGCCGGCCGGCCCAAGTTTCGGCCGGTCGGCTAGCAGCCGTGCGATTCGACCACGCAGAACCGTCTAATCGTGACTTCATCTTCTTCATCCTCATGTACACGGGGGAAATGCCCCTTTGTCTCGGTGGCACGCGACTTTGCCTACCCGTGTGCTACTCCGACGAGGGCAGTGGCTGCCGCCCGCTCGCACCGCGACGCCTCGTAATGTCGCCCCTTCATTGCTCATCGAAGTACTTTCTGCTGCTCATCAATTCCGGTTGAAGATTCGACGCCAACAGGTTGCAAACTCCCGCCGTCGACCGGTTTGCAACTTCAATTTGTCGAAGCTCCATGGTTGCAGCACTTGATGCTGCCGCCTTGGCCGTCGACACTTGTTGCACGGGATTGCACAAACAGCGGCATCTGTCAATGCATTTGAATTGACGTAGCAAAAAACTTCGCTGGTTGTAGCAAAAAATGACGACGGTTGTAGGAAAAACCAACTGTTTGTACCAACCCTAGATAGGGTTGTAGTTGTGGATAACATGGATGTAGCTTCGTACACATACGGTTCTATCATTTAAATCTACCGGTTGCAGCTTCCTGGTCGTAGGTTGCAAATTCATCGCCGTTGGATGCAACATGTCACTCCACCCGCCGAAGCTTTTTTGTTACCGGTCGTAGCTTTTGCGCAACCCGGTTGCAGCTTCTTGAACTCTCCAGCTGCATCCATTTGTTGCCGCTGGCCACAAAACTGCACTTCCGGTGATTGTAGCAAATAGTGACGCCGACTGTAGCAAAAAAACAATGCGGTTGTAGCAAAAACTAGTCGTGGTTTCAGCTCACTTATTGGTTGAAGCAAAAGCCAACTGTGGTTCCAGCTTTGGCTTCGGTCAGTTGCAACAAGAAAATGTTGGTTCTAGCTTCGTCGTCCGCTCGTCGGGGTTGCAACCATTGTCTTGGTCGTCCGTGAAGGCTCGTCGGGCACCCCTTGGCACGGCGGCACGACGCGGTCCCAGCACCTCCGTCACGGAAGTCGGCAGCCGATGGTGCGCACAGGAATGGCAGCTCGGGAGATTACATTTTTTGTGTAACATCACCTACTATAATATTAACTACCCTTTCGTGCGCCTATGTCCAAGGTTTTTCATGTGGTCTCTTGTAGTCGCGACGACGATGCCCGTAACCCGAATCGCCCCATGTGAACAACCTGGCATAGTCCAGGATGAGGACTCAACGTGCTAGTGGAAAACGAACGTCATCCTCCGACAAGCACTATCAAGTTCGCAAAATTACAAGTCAGTGCAAGGAGGGAGCATGAAAAGGGCATGCTAGAGCATGATAATCAACTTCGTCGTGAATAGATGGACAATGTAACCGACACGGTCGATGTTAGGAAATAGGATGAGATGCCACGTATGGGCGTATTTGCTAGTATAGTAAAAAAAACATCTTAATGAAATCTCACTCATCACCTATTCTCAAAAATTACTGTTTTGCTGATGCAAATGCAGTTCCCCCTCTATACGGTAAGATTGAGACGACCATGGTTGGCTATTGACCAGCAGTCTAGAAAGTGACTGGCACTCGGAGGAAAATATCGGCGACAAGCATTCGTGGTCGTGCTACGAGCGACCTCACTTTTCAGTAAACGCGGGTAGGTGATCGTGGTGCTGTTACCCGAGATAAGACGCACCATTTGCAGAAGTGGGCAATGGATCCTGCGTCATTCACAGATCACAGCTGCCGGCCAATGGATTCCCATCGACCATCCTCGCTGAGCCCGTCGCCGCTCAGCAAGAGTCGCGTTAGACAGCGACGTTCATCTTTTTTCTTGTCCTTGCGACGTCGATCTCGGGGACGGAGAGGGAGAGGGGTGATATTCTGGTTTTCGATTTTGATTGGGTCGGGGTTGATGCGTCGATTTGCCCGAGAGTGCGCCGGCAACGTTGCTGCTTGCGGAATTAGCAAAGATCGGAGCAAGTTTCTTTGGATGCGTCCAGACGTCCGGTGCTCCTGTGTTGTACTCCCTTTTCAATAATGATGGCGTATATATTTTTTAAAGACCAAACTTTACAAACTTTGACCAAGCGTAGAGAAAACTATTTCCGTTTAGAAACGCCACAAAGCGCATTTCAAGACACTTTATGTAACTAAACACTCGCTTTTGATGGCAGCGATGACGCCCGTGCCGTCATGCTTCCGTCGTGCCGACGTGAAGCAACTCACCACTCCTTATCGGGTCGTCCCGGAACGGCGAGTTGCTGAACCACGTGCCGGCTTGGAGCGGTAACTTGCTCCGTTGGGTCGGGCGCGGGAGGTGGAGCAGCGAGTTGCCTTCTTCGTATTCGGCCGGCTTAGCGGGCCACCCAGCCAGCTTGTATGCCGAAAAACTGCTCTTCGGAAGCCATCGAAAGAGTGGTGAAGGAGGAGATGTGGGGGCGGCGGAAGGTTGTGGTTCTTTTGCCCGGCGTCTGGCCTCGTTTAAATAGAGGGTGGACGTGAGGAGTTCAGCCGACATTCCGTTTAATGCCTCCCGGCTCATGAACGAACATGTGGCCGGAGTAGGTTTCTTGGCTTTCACGCGGGGTTAATGGAGGCGTATGAATGTGGTGAGTAGGCGTGTTCAACCGGACGTGCAGCAGGCGGTGCCCTCGACCGGCGAGCCGCTTCAATGACGGAGGCAATGAGAGGTCGCATCCGCCCTAAGCCGCATTCAATGCGGAGCGGCGCGCTCTACAGCGACATGAATACGGGTACATGGCATTAGGCGGGATGCACGTGGGAGGGGGAGGGGTTTTCGATGGGCCAGGACGGTCAAAAAGCGGGCTTGGGATCGGTCTGCACTCCCTCAAACCTCCTCCACTTTTGTCTCGGATTTATGGAAGAAATCGCGTCCGAACTATCCCGCGGACCGATATAGATCGGCGTTGAATGACTTCCGCGGTTCGGATAGCGCCATCCGGACGGTTGCGGGAGATTTGCGGGTTGGCGTTGGAGATGTTCTTACAAGCTAAAGTATAAGAGCATCTACAGTCGGACCTTTCAAACCCGCCTCATACGCCCGGGCGGGCTGCCCAGTCACTGACCGGTCACGTTTTTTCATCCAGACGGATGCCTCAAACGCCCGGGCTGACCGGCACCCCCCATATCCAGCCCAAATATGGGGGCACACCCGCCACGTCAGCCCCGGCCCATGTTGGCCCACCCGACCCCACTTATATTCGTCCCCATCCTCTCGCCGGAGCAAACCCTAGTCACTTCACTCCACTCCCCTCTGCCACCCGAACTCACCTCCGGGCAGTTTCCATCCTTCTCCGCCATGGCAGGCAGTGGATCCGACT